GAATTTCACTTTCTAGATTTGCTCAACTGTAAACTGTGAACATATTATCGAAGAACCATTGATGTCAGAACAACTTGTGGATGTGTCAGAAAAGTGATATGAACGACGCATTCTATGAGGATCCCGGCGAAATCCCTACAATCAAACTCAATGTAGAACAATGCCACAAATTTGCAGAGCTTTATGCAAGAGCAAAAACATGGAAATGCAAGAAAATAATTTGTCAAAAGCCCTGTGTATCCAGAATTTGCTTTAGTCCCAATGCCAAATTGAAAAGCGTGAGTCAAAAAATTCTTGTGAAATGGACACAGGGTAAGCACTATATGATATACAGGGCGTTTGATCGCTCTTAATGCAGCCAAAACGCCCACATAAGAAACAGAAAAGATATCCTCGCATTTATCCCAATTTGGCATCATTTAACAGGAGAGACGGCAGATTCAATCAAACACCGAAATGCTACTGGATTTTGCTAGGCTTGACAACTGAAGGTATCTGAAAGGTATGAACAGACTGTTGAATTCAAATAAACTCGAATATAGTCTTCACATTCTCCGTCATTGGAACAACATTAAGCCCCTTTGAACATTTTATTCAAGAAGAGAGGTTGTCGCTCTTTTCTTGCTGATGTCATTCACGTCATATTGTAGGATTTGTTTGCGTCCAAGGATTTGAGCAGAAATGCAAGCTGAGATCTCCGGTAGTGTAAATGGTTACTTCTCTATATTTTTATCTGGTATTTCTCCAAGTTCCCGCATTCATGTGTAAATGGTATCATAATATCTTGAAAATAATGTTCTCGTGCTTAAATATATGGCTAATTCATGATTTTATAGACTTTCTGTCAAGGTTAAAATGAACTTCAATTTGTTGTGCTGCTTGTGCACGCACATTGCACAATAATAAAAAGAAAAATATATAGTTAAGAATTGGGTATAAGTAAAAAGAAAAAAATTTACTTGGCAATGTGGTTATTCAATATCATGAACTTACAGAAGTAGAGCAAAATGGACGCTTTTTGGACAAAAAGCAACCCCAGAGGGTCATAACAGCTCTATTGGCTCTTACCTCATAACAGTTTGTTCTACAAATGAATTTTTTCCCCTCCCGCTATATGTTTCCTTTACTGTTTTAATGTTTTCAAGGCAATCTCCATGCTGATGTTCGGGTTAGCTTACAACTGAAACTCTATATGTTGAATCTAAAAACCTGACTGACGGAAATATATTCGAGTGCATAAGAAAAAAGCAAAGATCTTTCTGGAATTCGATCATTTGAAGCCCTTTGATTCTTGTCAGCCTGGATTGTGAATCCTGGGACAATTATGGTCGTGGTTGTGCAAATCCAAATTGGTTGGTGCGAGAGGAAAAGCTCTAAGTGATGGTCCTTCCAGGGGTTTGAATGGACATTGGACAACCAAAGGATTGCATCAGTGGCCTGAGACGAGATTTGGACTCGAGAATGAAAGCTTCTCCGAAATTGGCCTCTGGATCTCATATTATTGGAAATATGAGATTGCCAAAATTGGGTGGGTTGCTTGATTGGACCAGATGTTGAAATTGACCCTGGTGTGTAGTCTAATCAGGAGTTAGGCTCTCATGCTGCAACGTAATGCGGGGGGTCCGCATCAAGAACCAAGCGTGCATTTCTAGTAGTATCACTGGCTGGCACTTCAACTGTTGGGCAATGGGCACGCGTAGAGAACCTGACCATTCTTGGAGAGGGCGTTCATGTTAGGGACGAGATTTATAGCAACGGAGGAGTGGTTTTACCTCATACGGACATTTATGGGTTAAAAAACCAAGGATACGAGTAGGAACATGTTTTTGAAGAAACAAATGAAAATTTAAACGATATTTTCCACTGGGGAACGTGTTATACACAGAAAAATCAGTTTTACTACAAAAGATTCTTTTACAGGTTGGCGCTAAAAAATGCTCAAGCGCCATCACACGATATAATATTGGGAAGCTCTGCTGAAAGTATACTAGTTATGGCTGTGGATTACATGGGTTCAAATCCCAGCAGCCATCAGTATTAAATTTCCTCTTTAACAGTGTGGCAACATCAGTTTAATTTTCCTTTCCAATAGTGTGATAAAATCAGTTCATCTATAATTTTTTTTTTTTTCAATTTAATCCACACAGAAAATTTAGATGTTAAATTGCAGAACAGAAGCTATAAACTACAGCTAGTTATTAACAACTAGAGTATGGGGTTATTTTATTTTATTTTTTATATTTTTTTTTCTATATTATCGTGCTATTTTAACTTCGTTCAGATTAATAGAAAATAAAATTATTTAATATGTAATGCTAAAATAAACTACAAACTATAACTAAAATAACAGTGAGTACCCTATTACAAATACGTCGCACGCATCACACTTGCCAAAAACTACTATGGTATAAGAGAAAGACTTGCCCTTGCTCTGAGAACTGCCAATAAAATCCTGGTGTAACGATCAATCCAATAACATAACCACCAGTAGGTGACAATTCAGACAGAGAAACAAGGTTGAGTATGAAAAACTGTGAACCTATTGTCGAGGAACCAACGACGCTAGAACAACTTTGCATCCAGAAGTTACTTTAGTCCCAAAGCCCAAACTGAAAAACATGAGTCGACATCTTGCTATATGGACACAAGTTAATCACTAAACCGTTTATAGGGCGCTGGGTCGTTCTTAATACAGTCAAAACGCCCACATTAGAAACAGAAAAGGCATTCTTCAGACTTATCCAAATTTAGCATCTTTAATAGGAGAGGCTGCAGATTGAATCCAACTGCCGAATACTACCATATTTTGCTAGGCTTGACAATTGAAGGTATCCGATACTACTTCTGGAAAGGTATGAACTTCTTGCTGAATTCAAATTAACTCGAACATAGTATTTACATTCTTCGTTAATGGAACAACATTCAGCCCCTTTGAACATTTTATTCGAGAAGAGAGAGGTTTTTGCTCTTTTCTTATTGATGTTATTCAACGTCATATTTAGTATTTGTATGCATCCGAGGATATGAGCAGAAAATGGGATCACCGAGACCACTGGTAGGTGGCCAGATTCAAACACAATAGTATAAATGGTTACTTTCCACAATTTCTTGAAAATAATGTTCCATGCTTAAATTTGTGGCTAATTCATGATTTTATAGACTATTTATCAATTTATAATGAACTACAGTTTGTTGTGCAAAACACGTGCCTGTGCACGCAAATTGCACAAGATTAATAAGGAAATAATATATTTAAGATATGTGTATACGTAAAAATACATAATTTGAAGAATAACGAAAGGAAAAATATCTATATTAGATTTGAATATTCATATTAAGTTCCACAAGTTTGATTAAATTATGCACATTTTAGACTTTTAATGGCTTCAGCAAGCTAAAGTCTTGTTGTGTGGAGAACAAGGAATGCATAGATGTATATCTTCTCATAATCTGGAATAGCCTCCAATGCTCGATCATAAATCATCATTTCGAGTTCGTAATTTTCCTCCAACTTTCCTACCATAACTATATGGACCTCAAAAGCCATTGGTGGAAGTTCTTGAATTGCCTATTCGAATAAATCCCTTGATGCTTCTAACTTCTCCTTTCCATACCAGTGCACAAATTTGGACAGATATATTTCCCATATTTCCTTCACCTCTGGATACCTTAAAATCTATATACACTTCCATAGTATCCTCAAATCGTTTTTGCTCCTCAAGAAGCTGAACGTATTTTTTTACTGTAGGAATTCGCAGCATAGTTAAACATGAATTACCAGTCAAGAATCCTTACTTGAAATAATAAATTCAAAGATCTTTGTGTGGTTAAATCACCTTGCATTTCAAAACTCCAAAATTTGCACTCGATCACAATAGAAGGAGATTATTATCCACAATCTAAATACCAATTTTGTGAGTTTTCCTGCCATAAATGTGGTTTTAGGCACTTTCCTATTTTTATGTGATTTTCCATACGAATTTCACACATTTTATTGTCATCTTTTCTATGAGTTGTTTCAAGATTATAGAAGTGGATGGAAGTTGAAGAAAGTGACGTGTTCGAATTCTATTCAAACTACTCCCTCGACTTCACTTTAATGATTTATGGGTCGGGTCACACCACATGAGCGATCCACAATCCCCTTTTTCCAACATTGATAATGTCAAATGATATTAGCTTCAAATCAGACACGCGCTCGTATAATGCACAAGTAGATACAATTGTACCTAAATTTTCCACTACACGTTTTTCAAATCTGAAAACCGTTAAATGGAGGTTCAAAATAATTAGACAAAGATAACCTTTAGAAATGGATTTTCGTAATCCTAATTTTTGATCATTTAATTCTTATTTTGAAATCACCTCTTTCGTGGCTATGGTCTTAACTAGTTAGGATAGGTTCTTTGTACCGTCTCGAAGTATTCATTGCAAATTCACAAAAGATTGAAAATTGCTAAATGGAAAGTTCAAAACAACAAGTCGAAGATGATTGTTAGAAATAAATTTAATCTGATATTTTATCATTTCATTCCCATTTCAATGTGACCTTTTTCAGCTTATTTCCAGGCTACATTCGTTACTCGCCCTTGGTACTGTTTCGAAATATTGATGGCTAACTTCACATCACAATTTTCAAATTCAGAATTCAAAGTAATATTTAGGTAATTTATGTTTATAATGTTTGAATAGAAAATTGAACGCAGGGCTACTTAATTGCAAACAAGTTCGTCACCTACACTTAAGGATCTGTAGAAAACACGGTTCACCTCACAACAAAACAATACAAGAACCTCGATAAATACAAGACCTCATATAGAAATTGAACCGCAATCATTGCGGAATTTCATTTATTAACAAGTCATTGGAGCCATGAATTCACGAAGTATCTGGAAAATTAGCATTTCAAACTATGTTAAGCTGGCCTATGCATAATAGACTTGACCAAGTCTAAAATACGAAAATAATCATATAAGAGTGATGACTCCTTGCCTTCCAATCCGTCCCTGCTCACTCTGTTGCTACCGGCGAGAGTGTTGCAAGGTCTTCCACCGATGACGAGATCAAAACCACCAACATAACTTATTACTTCCTCGAGTCGCTCTCCGTCCAATGCCTGGACGTCATCGAAGTCAATTAAATTTCCAGTCTGATTTGTCTGCTCCCACCAACTCCTAACTATATCTCTATTCACTTTGGACTTCTCAACTGAAACTACATTCTTCAATTTAATTCCTAGTCGATGAAGTGCTACTTCTGCACCGCCAATTCCAGAAAAAAGGGATAAAAGGTTTATGCCGCCTGGAAACATGTCCTTGAGGACCGAGAGATGGTACGCCACAGTGTCAACCTATATATGGAATATCGAAAGCGATATTGTCAAGATTATTTTCCCAACAACAAACTTTACTAGGCAGGTAATGCATACATGTCAATTACTGGATAAGCCATCTTAATTTAAATAAAAATTATAAGAAATATTGCAGAGGAAAAATAAATGCTTACCTGGAAGGAATTACCCAGTGATTTATATCTGTCAGTCCTACTTATCCCACCTCCTCTTGTATGGTTCTTCGGGAACCCCAATAACATTTCCATTTCATCGGGCTCTAGAGGGGCAACCTTGTTCCTCCCTACCCAAACCAAATTCCATTTGCGGCATTCGTCAAGAATAGACTTTTGCACAGAGGTAGGCGGATCACCATCAAATCTCTCAAGAGCACTGCGAATTCTCTCAGTTAGTTTTGCGCTCCCAATGGCAGTTCGAATGCAGTTCAGTTTTTCTCGAGCATCCCATTGGGGCCACCACTTTCTCGACAAGGGAAATGCTTGCTGGATGGTGAGTGGGGGAAGAGGAACAAGAGGAAATCTGTTTTGAACCGGTAAGTTCTGAACATAGCCTCTTTTCCTCGCCGTAGCACAAAAATACTTAGAATCAACGAACTCGGGTTCAATGTCATTCAAAAACCTTGAAATAGTGTCCCAGACTCCCTTTGGGGCTAGAGCCACATTTTCATAATAGAAGAAAGGAGCGCCAATCGCTGAATTAGGAAGAGATCGATTAACACTCTCGTGCTGCAGTGATGGTACACCAAATCCTATCATTGGGTTAGGCAGACGTATGGTCTCTGTCTCGGGATCATTTTTCTTTTTACAAATGTCAAAGAACTTTCTCTTCTTGATCTTGCTAACTCCATTATATCTTGGCTGTGAAAGCATGGGATACGACATGTCACTTGCGTCGGTAACTACAATAGTTACTAAATGCTAAAGCAGTAAATCTAAAATAATTGGCAGAGCTTTCATTTAGTGTCAACTTTGTATAATAAATGAGAATCTAACCTTGAGATCATCATCTGGTAGATAAACATCTGCCTCCCTTGATAATTGAGCAGCACAAATAAAATCGGTCAACTCAGCAATAGAAGCTTCTGGACCTGAAAAAAATGAGAAAGATTACATAAATTAACATGAATTGAGCAAATCATGTGGTGGTTGTTCCTAGCATCCCAAGATACAAAAGCTTTTGATATCTGGATCCAGCAAGCAAAACCTGTTGCAAAGGGAACCACAACCAGTCTACACAGATTCAACACCATCATTTTTACCACAGCTCATGGAGGTCCTAGTTACCCAGAGCATAGAAGGTTGCAGTTACAAAAACAAAGACAGACAAATCCACTCTTAATTATCCAAGGAGGCATTATGTCATCCCTTGTATGTGAGCATGAGCGTGCATGTGCAAGTGCCTCTGAATGTGTTATAAATGATAGAATCAAGCCATCGTGACAAGAACAGAAGACAGTTTACGCTGATGATTCGGTAACCATATCTGCATGGATATGCGATGGGTACTGGCAAAGGAAAGAAGTGATGCTTTCTTTAACACCACATGAGCGTGCATGTGCAAGTGCCTCTGAATGTGTTATAAATGATAGAATCAAGCCATCGTGGCAAGAACAGTAGACAGTTTACGCTGATGATTCGGTAACCATATCTGCATGGATATTCGATGGGTACTGCCAAAGGAAAGAAGCGATGCTTTCTTTAACACCACAGGACTAGTTGTCTAGTACACCATCAGATCATATATAAGAGCTGTCTATCTAAAACTGTCAACGTAATTTTTAAATCGTGAAAGTTGCAGATAATTTCCACCAAGAATCAGTTATATTACGCATTAATAACCGAAGTACCAAAAGTATTTAAGACAAGCAATTGGAAAGGAGTCAACTGTTCATGTAGCAGAAATCACCTATACAAGTAGGAGTGTGAATAACAGAGGGAAATACATCCCCGGGAAGAAATTAAAGCCAATAATTGGTTAAAAAGTAATCATCAACCAATAATTTCTTCTGAAAAAGAACTCAGAATGGAAATAGCTGAAAGCGAGAAATGCACACATCTTCTGGGGAAAGGGAACTCTAAAGAGAAATATGATCGAAGCACACTCTATTTATTAATTATGACTCTTGCTTTCACTTCATTAGACAGCTCATTGCTAATTCACATTGATTATTGAAATTCACTATATTTATTCCGAACTTATAGTTAAATAATTTTATACTCTATTTATAAGTTGTGATTTGACTTCGTTGGAGAGTTCATTGATAATTTAAACTGATAGTTGAAATCAACTATATTTAATTTGGACTTATCACTAAATAATGATATTATACTCTATTTATGACCAGTGACTTGACTTCGTTAGGGAGTGGATTGATAATTCAAATCGACCGTCATAATTTACTATGTGCCTGTTTATTTCCGATTTTAAGCAAAATTTGCACCGTTGCTATAGTGTTATAGCCACAATATTTGACTTCTTTGTGTCATAGTGGACCCCACAATTTTGATAAAAAAGGATAAAAAAAAAGCCATTTCTTGTTGAAATAATTGGAAACAAACAGGGGCAATATTTAATTTTGATTTATTTCTGAATAATGTTATTATACTCTATTTATGACTAGTGCTTTGATTGCGTCATAGAGTTCATTGCTAAAGTTTAAAAGATTTTTACAATTTTGCGGTGTGGCTACCCCGCCCCCATCTTCCTCCTATGCTTTCATGACATTTATGGTAACGATCCTTGAATAGTGAACTTGTGACTTTTGAAATTGAATTATGTCATATTATAGTTGTTTTTTATGGTAGTCATGCATACTTTAGTGTAAGTTAAATAATTGATTAACTCTTTTTGTATGTCAATTCTTGTGGCAATTGTATTTGACAATATATAGGAACATGTGAAATGACTAAAATCCAGGAAACTATATGCATTTTCGGAAACAATTATGATTTTTTAGATGTTTAAGCAAAAATGCAAACTAACACCGGATCCGTGCCTTTAAAACGATAGGTTTAGGTCCATGTGAGCCCAATATTTTTTTGGTTTTGAACCTAATTTACATCAAATTTTAATGTGCGTTGAATTGAATGCAAATCCTCTTTGTCTTAAATTACAATATAAATTTTCTTTATACAAAAAATTTGAGCATAAACATCTCATGATTTATGAATTTCATTAGTTGTCTAATTTATTTAACTAGCATTAAACATGCAAAAAACAGTAGAATTAGTGGGTGGGGGTAATTGGTCTCTGATGAAGTACATTGGAAGTGATTGGATAAGCATGTGTCTTATTGCCTCCATCCATTCCTCGATTTTGCAAGTTATACACAGGATTTTCTGATTGGAAGAGTTTCTTATTTAGAGATGAACTCCTGGTCACTGACACTGATATAACTGGAACGCAGTCATTCTTTCAGCCTGATCAAAGAGATTTGGGGGCGTGGATTTTACTCAAATTAAACCAAGATACTTGATATTCAGCTTCTGAATTTGATCCTCTTGAGCTAAATCTGATATCTTCATTTGCTTGGAAAATGATAGATTCAGAAGAACTTTGTGATGTAATGATGTCTTCCCCCGATCTTCTATTTTGCTTGTCCACTGGAAAGTTCTGTAATCTTGAAAAATAGTGTGTGGAAAGGTGTAAAATTATTCCCTACCTAATACAATGATTTTTTCTTTCATTTTTTTTCCTTTACATATGATTACTAACTATATCTTTTCTCTACTTTGTGAATAAATAACTATTTCGTGTTTATCATGTGCATGCTTTGGATGTTGAGGTATATTAATTTGTTGACCTTAAAACTTGAAGCGAGCAAATCCCTTGCCGCCTCCTTATCTAGTCACCTTTCCAAGCCCTTTTGTGGTTACCGAAGCTCTGTGGGACAACTTCATGGTGACAATTTTCGCCGAGCGAAGACTTTTGGAGATGAATTCCCATATGCACTCTTAAATATTTTGCCGCGTGGTACCTTCCTTATGCTTCCATTTGGCCAAGAAGATATTGCTTTTATTTTCTTTTAAGGGGAGACAGGATATTTGATTGGTCCCTATAGAAAGTTCATAATTGCTAGGGTCCCATTAATTCTAAGTAAACAGGTTCGCTTTGTAGACTTCAGTAAGCTAAATTCTCCTAGCAAGCTTAGGGGCTCAACCTTGCATGGGTGAGAATTAGAGGAAAGTAATCTAATAGCTTCGGCCTTGCAAAGACTATTCAGACCTTGTTTTACGGTCACGTCGTTTTGATTGGTCACGTACCTTCTTACGTTACACATTGGTCTAACCTGGTATCCCTGTAGAATCATTTTATGCCAGGTGAATTTACCTAGTAACAATATTTTACTCCAATTGCAGGTAAAACTTATCAACAATCGCTATCAAAACTCTACAATCCACAGATTCCAGAATCTCATTCTCAAGCTTCCTCTACTTCACTCCCTTAGAGGAAGTGTCATCTGATACCACAGAAGACACGTCAACTTTCAATTCATCAGTGAAAATTTTGAAAATAGACAGGGTAAACTTAGATGATCCAGGAAGCCCAAGTGACAAAAAAGAAAAAAGGAAAAAAATGATGAAACATGTTGGTCTGTGCTGAAGAGCAGGTATATTCTTGTGACCAGATGGGAACTTTAGGGGCAATCAAGAAGGATGGAATGTAATTCAGGATATCTTATTATCAAGCGGTTGAATCGTCAAAATATTCAGTTTTTAATTTAGAAGGGCCTTTAGGCTACTCAAATCATGAATGAGCCTATTCATGAACAAGCATTCAAAAAATATGAAGCCACAGCTGATACTTGTGCATGTGTATTACACACTTGTTTCATGCATTTCTTTTTATAACTACAACATATGAGTCTTCATCAATACAAAATAAGTTGAAGCTTAATCAGGAATCCCATGATTAATATTTCCTTCATTGTACGACAAAAATATATCTTTTGATAATGCAACATTGTTATGAAAACTTTTAAAATGACTACCTTTTCCTTTAAACAGGTGAAACTATATGAATGTTTAAATCAAATATTAAATTTTTTCTTGTGTTTTTCTTCAAATTTTGTATTTTTACTTCTACACAATTCTTAACTATATATATTTCTTATTAATTTTGTACAATGTGCGTGCACAGCCAATTAGCAGCAAATTTAAGCAAGGGATATTATTTTCAAGACATTATGATGCCATTCACATATGAAGGCATGAGCTTGGAGAAATATAGCAGAGAAAAATATAGGAAAGTAACCATTTGTTGCAATCTGGTCTCCAGAGGTCGAAATGCTCATGTTTTCTGTTCAAATCTTCGGATACTGACAAATCCTACAATATGATGTTGAATAACATTAGCAAGTAAAGAGAGAAAACTTAATTTTCTTGAATAAAACAAGGGCTGAATGTTGTTCCAATAATGAAAAATGCAAATACTATGTTCAAGTGAATTTGAATTCAGCAATCAGTTCATACCTTTCCAGAAGCAGTATTGGATACCTTCAGCTGTCAAGCCTAGCAAAATCCAGGAGAATTTCGGTGGTTGGATTGAATCTGCCATCTTTCCAGTTTAAATGATGCGAAATTGGGGTTAAGGAATGCCATTTCTGTTTCGTATGTGTGCATTTTGTCTGTATTAAGACTTAAGAGCAATCCAACGCCGTGTAAACCATGCAGTGCTTACCCGGTGTCCATATAGCATGAAGTCGACTCATGCTTTTCAGTTTGGGCATTGCAACTGGAGCAAACTCTGGACGCAAAACAACTGGGGCTTTTGACAAATTACTTTCTTGCATTTCCAGGTTTTGCTCTTGCATAAAGCTGTGCAAATTTCTAGCATTGTTCTACTTTGAGTTTGATTGTAGGGATTTCGCCAAGATCCTCATAGAATGCATTCTCAATATCACTTTCGGACACTTCCACACCTGGTTGTAGTGTCGTTGGTTCTTCCATTAATCATAATAGGTTTACATATTTTGCATTCTCAACCCTGTTTCTCTGTCTGAATTGTCCCCTACTGGTGGTAGCGCCTTTGGCATATTAGTTATACCGGGGCTTCTATTGGCAGTTGTCAAGGCGGTAGATGCAATAATACTACTACAGAGGGGAAGTCTTGCTCTTATGCCATATTCATATTTTCATTTTATTCCATATTATTTGAGCTAATCAATTTTGAAATCCATGTCAAGAAGACAAAATATCCAAGATTTTTTTACGAATATGGTTTATTTGATAATCTCAACTTTGTTTCAGAAAT